GACCTAAATAATTAGTGAAAAAAATCTTAAAAGCTTTAATTACACAAATGTGTGTCCGTGTGAATTTGATTTGTGTTTACCTCGCTTTTAGCATCTTTGACGTGGACAATAGATATCGAGTCCACTTGCGTTCTCACAAACTAATTTCGACACGTGTAGACAGATTGTCAATCGATAATATCTCGGATTTGAACGTAGGAGAAGCTTATAACACAAGACAAATATGTTCGAGCCTCGGCAAAATATACTAGAGAAATTATGCGATAGTGAACGATCAACAAAGAACTAAACTCAAGATCAAAATTAAACATCAAACATTAAAAACCCAAGACCAAGCAAAAAAAAAAAAAGGAGAGAATGTATAGCTTGTAGTTGATATATTAGCATTACCCTCCAAATGATACAAATAGATGAATATTTATAGTGTTACATGTGAAATAGTGTCCATTGGATAAGGCAACACGTGACCCCATCTCCTTAACCAAGACATCTTACCCTAGGCATCAATTTTAACTCCAATAGCTTGTAACGCATTAAATGTCCCCAAGAAGGTGGCATCCACCCTATAACCTATGTTGACAAGACTAACTTTTTTCCTCGTTACAAAAGTCCAATCAATCAATCATTACAAAAAGATTTCATAAATTCAAGATCTTCAAATGTGGGTCGTCACCCTTTCTGATTGAGCTTCGGATCCTACTTCAGCAAAAGGGGCTTTGGCAAGTCTATTCCATGAAATAGCTTCGTTGAATGCCGACTTTGGTGCTTCGGATTTAGTGGTTTTTTGTAGATCCTATGCGCTCCACGTGGGATGACAAACGACTTTGACAAAATGGGCTTAGGCGGGTCGACTACGATCCTCGTGGGATGCCAGGTAAGCCACGTGGGAGCCTTGACAGCGAAACGTAACAATAATCCTCCAAGTCCATGTATGATTATTCATATCATGCGTGAACTTCTATCTTGAGTAGAATATCTTTGAGGCTGATTTTCTGTCGTGGTTAGGTCAACGACAATAATTTGAATGTGTGTTTAACATGTCGTTAAATAATTTTTTTTCCTTCTATAGTAACTTATATTTTAAGATTTCTTAGTTTAGCAAATACATTTTATTATTCGGTATCATTTCCAAACTTGAATTTTCGGTTCACAACAACAATAAATTAAACCTTGTCCAAATATACTAATTTGATTTAATAATTAAACTAAAACACGATAATTAACAGTTTTACTACATGTACATCAAGTTTGACATTATTTTGAGGTGGCAGCTTTTATACATTGATTTTAACAACACTTTAAACAATCAATTACACAAATTTTGACACATCTTAAAATGTCTAACTTAGCCCCTACTTGGTGAGGATTAAAATCAGATTTTTAGTAGATTTTGATAAAAGTTGATAAAATGTATAGTTGAAAAGTTGTGGAAGTCATAAAATGTGTTGTTAACATTAATTGTTAACTTTTATTTATATTAAAATGAAGTTTTTAATCTGTACTAAATAGAGATGTCAATGGGCCGAGCCGAGTGGCTCATGGAGAAACGAGCCACGACCTCACGAACCGGCTCGGCTCGTGGCTCATTTGCTCGTGGGCGAGCTCGGCTCGTGGCTTGTAATTTTTATTTTTTATAGTTTTTCTTCGTTTTTTTTAATGTTTTTTTCATGAGCCCACGTGTCGAACTTGTGGGTGGGTGCCCACGAGCGCTTGCCTCCCTAACGAGCGCTAGAGCGGCTCGTGGGTCGCTACAGTACGAACCGAGCTGTCGAGCCGACGAACCGCTCGGCTTGATTGTCACCACTAGTACTATAAACAAGGACTTAATGTACACAAAGAGTGTACAAGTAGTTTGATACGAAAAATAATGAATTTTGACTGCAGATAGTAAGAAAAAATCATAGTTTTCCATGAATTACTCCGGACATAACGAACGAAAGGGACCACATTGAGCAAATAGTTAGGAGAAATTGATGTAATATGTTTTTTTTTTTTTGTGGAGTTAATAGAAAATGATTATTTGGAACCAGGTTGTCACTCTTCCTAAAATGCTGTACAATTACGCCTTCCTTCACTTTATGTCCCTTTCTTTAAACGTAACTAGCATTTGCTTTAACTAGTGTTTTGTATGATATTACATTTAGGGGGTAGGGTAGGGTGGGACATTGTATTTAAAATTATCATTTTGTTTACCAAACAAATCATCAAGTTGTTGTATCATTAGCACCCTTTCTATCTTGAAAGTCTAGAAGAAGATAATTAGTGAGGTCGGAGTCAATAAGTGGAGACACCGTCGATTATAAATCATTAAAGAAACTTGGGGTGCTAAGGTCAACTTTTCATTTACCTTAAGAAGCTTCCATTCATAATAGTGACGCAATATTGTTAAGAGCAAATTAGAAGATGGATTGGAAGACCAAAGTTAACTTGGCTATTCTTGATGCAGGAACGGAAAGTTTCAAGTGAACGACCCCAAAGTAATTAGTAATAAAGCTTAGCTTGTTGTTGTTGTTGATGGGAGCCAAAGAAACGTTGGAAGGATCCATTGAGTAATTGTCACTAAAGACAATTTAAATAATTAACTTTCTTCTCTATTTAGAACTTGGACTCCTAAGTGAGGTAGTTCGACAAAGTAAAAAAGTGTCCTAGATTCAAATCTTGCAGTTGATATCTATGAAAATGTAACGTGTGAGATCTTATATGGAACAATTTGTCTAATCTCTAACTACTGAAACTCTTAAACTTTTAGATACAATAATTCAATACTTGTAAGTGTACTGAAAAAAAAAATTTGAGTGAATTGCCTATTTAGTCACTGAACTTTCAGCCATGCACACAAGGGGTCATTGAACTTTCAAAATAACACAATTAGTCACTGAACTTTACAATTCGTCATCCCAGCAGTCACCGAGCTAACGTCCATTGAAAAATTTGACGGACTTTCCCCGCGGCAGCTTACGTGGCGAGACAACTCCTTCAATTTAGTCAGCTTGTCAAAATTGCTACACATGTGGCATTTCCATCTTTTGAAACACGTTTAAAAAAAAAAGTTCAATTCACTCCAAACCCGTCTCTCTTTCCCAATTTGAGCCCCAAATCCTCCCTCAAATCCGTCAAACCCATGAAAATCCTTCTCCACCCGTCTCCCCCAATTTCTTCCCCAAGTCACACCACGATTCGTCACTCTCAAAATCACCAAGAACCCTACATTCCCCACCACAATTCGACCTGAACATAGCCCCAAAATACTTCAAGCCGAATCGCAGAAGTTGCCCCCAAGTCCATAACTCCACCATGGCTGATGGTAAACAACCATCGACGGGTAAGAATCGGTCACCATGGCTGAAATTAATTTATTGTTGTTTGTTTCTGCTGCATTTCGTTCAAATATTTCAGATATTTTGCAACTTTTGTATTTGTATTCATCTTATTCTCTTACTTTTGCAGTCGATGAGGTAGACGACGATCCGGACTTCATTGACTCTGACCATGATGTGTGTGACGACGATGATTTATTGTTTGACTGTAATGTGAGTGAAGGGATAGAACTTGGTATGGTAGCACTCTGCATAATGAAGTTGATGAGGACTGTGATAGCTCATCGAATGCATCCTCGAAGAGCTGGAAATTGGAAGCGGTTCAGAATCTGAGGAAAATATTGGTAAACTTAGTTTTCCTGAATTTATCCCTGGAAAGAGAAATCCTAAGCTCGAGATAGGTTTATTGTTTGGGTCTTTTGAGGAATTGAAATCTGCAGTTAGAAATCATGTAGTCTTCAATAGGGTTGAATCGATTTTCAAGCGAAATGATAAGGAAAGATTCCACTGTGTTTGTAAGGAAGGTTGTCCGTGGAAGTTGTGGGCGTCTAAGCTACAGGGTCAAGACACCGTCTAAATAAAAACGTATTACCCTGACCATACTTGCTTGAAGGTGCATAAGAATAAGTACATTACTTAGAGGATTTTAGAGCTGATCCTGTATGGAAGACAAAACATTTTAGAAGTAGGGTGAGAAAAGATTTGGGAGTTCATATTACGAGGACAGTTGCATGGAATACTAGGAAATATGGTGCAAGGTGCATTTTTATACTTTTTTGAACAACATACATAGAAACGCATTTTTAGAAAAGTCTAGGAGAAAAGATTCAGCTCTTCCACCAATCCAGGAGTGCAAGGTGCCATAGCATAGTCAACAACATCAACCTGCACATGAAAATATTATCTTCACTTGATAGAAATTCGAACTAGCAAACAATGAATGTATCTTTATACCTTTTTGAACAACATACATAAATATAATGTATATCAAAATCAAATTAAATTAAATGTAGACTAAAGCCTGAAAACATAATCTTAGAGCTTCAAGTAGCTACCATGGTTTCTGAATTCGTCCTCTCTTGAGGATGCCCATCTAGCTTGAGAGGAGTCATCAGTTGGACAGAGGCCTGAGGATCACCACTGGAATAAGAGAAACTACAATTTCAGCCAAGAAACTCCTAGTCCCTTCATTGCTTCTGCGGTTCGGCCTGATTTATTTTGGGGCTCCGTTCAGGTAGAATCGTGGTGGGGGTAGCTTCGAATCGGTATCTAGGGATTTTGTGGGGGGTTCATGGTGTGATTTGGGGGAGAAATTGGGGATGACTGGTGGAGAAGGGTTCGTGGGTTGGACGGATTTGGGGCTCAAATTGGGGGAGAGAGAGAGAGAGAGAGAGAGAGAGAGAGAGACGGGTTTATTGTGGAGTGAATTGAACTTTTTTTTTAAACGTGTTTCAGAAGATGGAAATGCCACGTGCGTAGCAATTTCTCCGTTCAGGTAGAATCGTGGTGGGGGTAGCTTCGAATCGGTATCTAGGGATTTTGTGGGGGGTTCATGGTGTGATTTGGGAGAGAAATTGGGGATGACGAGTGGAGAAAGGTTCGTGGGTTGGACGGATTTGGGGCTCAAATTGGGGGAGAGAGAGAGAGAGAGAGAGAGAGAGAGAGAGACGGGTTTATTGTGGAGTGAATTGAACATTTTTTTTTAAACGTGTTTCAAAAGATGGAAATGCCACGTGTGTAGCAATTTTGACGAGCTGGCTAAATTGAAGGAGTTGTCTCGCCACGTAAGCTGCCACGTGGAAAGTCCGTCAAATTTTTCAACGGACGTTAGCTCGGTGCCTGCTCGGATGACGAATTGTAAAGTTCAATGACTAATTGCATTATTTTGAAAGTTCAGTGACCTATTGCGTGCATGGCTGAAAGTTAAGTGACTAAATAGGCAATTCACTCAAAAAAATCTATAGGCAAAGTTTCGTAAGTTATATCAAGAAGTGATAAAGAGAGACAATTGAAAGACAAAACTCCCTGAAACATGGATTTAATATTGTTTCTGGAGTGATTATGACATCAAAATTACCTCTAAAAGAATCTTTACATAACTTGGATTTCATGATTTAAACAACAAATTATTCCACATATTGTTAGATTTCATGATTTAAACAACAAATTATTCCACATATTGTTAGAGTTTCTTAATCCTAAAATCGGTGGCTTTGTAACATCTACATGTCACTTTCACACCCATATCCCCATTGGATTTGTGACATACAATAGCTTAATTTCTGGTCTTCCCAAATTAAATAAAAAATTGGATATTTTTTTTACATTTCTAGTGGCCAATGAATTGAGAGGATTTTGAAGCCTACAAAGGTTCTATTCTGTCTTCACTTTTTAAACCTAAAATATGCTTCTGCTTTAATGGTCCATAGGCAAGAAGATATACATGTCAGAGAAGACAATGTCACAAGCAACCTGTTTCATGGTCTCCATGAAATTATATACACCGTAACCACAAGGATGCCAAATTTAAGTGCTTGTGGACT